CCTAAGTTAAAAGAGATGTTGTTGGCCTTAAACTTGCCTAGCCTACAAGAAGTTATAAACAAAGCTAATGCTATTAAAAGAGCTCAAGAGGAGACTCTAGCAGCAAAGCAGAGTATGCAGGCTGGAAAAAGGACTGGGATGTCTTCATCTACACATTATGCTAAGAGAGGCAAGTCCCGATATAATGACAGATCTGATTCTACTGGAGTATGTAGATTGCTCTCCAACGCTTTTTCATTGTGGTGAATCTGGTCATTATGCACAAATTGTCCAAAAAGTCGGTGATAGATCAGGACAAACTGAGAGATCAATAGATACACCAAGTAGAAGTAGAGCAAGAGGAAATCAAGCGGTCATCTGAGGCTAGCCAGCGACAAAAGACAATGGGAGTGGCCCGAATTTATAATATAAAGACCAATGAGGATCGGGATGATCCGGAGATCATAACAGACATATTCCATCTTTTTTATGAGCCTGTTTTTGTTCTAGTTGACCCTGGTTCTACTCATTCGTATATAGTACAAAGTTGGTTAGAACTAGAGGAATTCCTTAGAACCAATTCTAGTGAAATGATAGCGATAAATCCTATGGGTCAAAGTGCAAGGGTGGCTAGGGTGTAGAAAATGTCCAATTAAGATTCAAGGGGTTGTGTTCTCAGCAAACTTGATGGAGTTGCCCTTTGATGAGTTTGAAACCATTTTCAGCATGGATTGGTTGTCTCCACATCATGGATGGGTAGATTGTCATTAGAAACGATTATTCTTAAAGGATGCGTAAGGCTTTGAAATTGTAGTGATTGGTGATAAAGCGAAATTACCCTCCATTGTGATATCAGCCATTATTGCAAAGAAATGATGTCAAGGGGCGTGTAACTTTTCTAGCTAATGTGATAGACACTCGAATGCCGGAAGTGAGATTAAAAGATATTCCAAGTTGATGAGTTTTCTTTTAAAAAATATAAACTTGCAAATATTAAAATATTGACTCGTCGAGATAAATCCCTGTGAAAATATTAAAATATTAACTCATATGGGGCCCATAAACCTGAGACCAATAAAAATATATTTTCAAACAAACTCGTCACCTCGACGTGAAGAGTTTACTTTTATGATAGAAAATGTCATGAATTCCAAATTAAAATATTTGTTAGTTAACCTATTGAGCCAAATAATTTAGCCGTCTCGGATATTGAAAAAAAAAAACTGCTGACATATTACTCGTGGACTCGTCTGTTCACAAATTTGAAACATAAACAAATCAATTTAAATGGTCCAAATATCTAACAAACCCAATAAACCAAACCTATACATAGTTTGACCCAAACTTGAAATATTATTCGAGATAATTCCAGCCTTAACAAAGTATAGTATTAATTTAAGCAAGTTAATTAAATAAAAGTAATAAATTAATGCTATATTACTATTTAACTTCCTTAACCAAATAGTTAAATCCTTCTATACAGGTGGCAAATGGGTCATTTGGATCGAGTTCAGTTCCGGTCATTTTGGTTCTGGTTCATATCGGATTTAGACTTAATTCGAGTATATTCGGGTAGGATTGGATCATTTCTGGTTTCAGTTTTATTCGGTTTTATAGTAAGTTGGGTCTGCTTCGGATCGGGTCATTTCAGATTTCGATCTTATTGAAATCTTTAGTAAGTCAGGTCGGTTTGGGTATCGGGTCGGGTCATTATGAGATCGATCAATTTCAGGTCATATCAAATCATATAAGTTAATTTTTGGGTCAGGTCAATATCTGATCAATTACTTTTGGTTTGGGTCAACTTTAAATCTTCTGGTCAATTTGGGTTGGGTTGAATATGAGTAAAATGAAGTATATATACAATTATTGGTCATTTTTTTTTTTGTAAAAATGTGGTTTTTTTAAAAAAAATCTTATCATTTGTATTCAATTTCATTCAAATTTAATTATTATTTAGGGATTATAATTTAACTCAAACTCGACCTATAAGTTATGTTAAGGTTTGTGATAATTTTATTAATCCGAACCAAAAGTTTGTGATACACTCTATTTGATTAAAATAAAATTGTAAATTTTACTATCAATTAAATTTTAAATTAGATGTTAACGTTTAATTATAAATATAATATTTTTATTAAATTTAAAAGTAATAATAATTATATTTAAGTATGAATAAATATTTTAATATTTTAAATGATATATATTATATCAGAAAAATATTTTACTTTTAAATTATATATAAAAATAGATATCTTTGTATTATAAAAATAAGTTATTTTTATATTAAATTTAAATAACTGTATATTTTTATATAAAAAAGAATTAAAATAATTTTTAATTTAATCTAATAGTTTTAAAAGTTACTTTAGTAATTTCAAAGTAAAATATTAAATTCATAATTTGATTTGAATATATTGAAAACTATTTTAATAATTTTAAATCATTATGTAATAGAATCCAAAATGAAAGATTGAATTAGTAAATTATGATTTATATTTTTTAAAGATTAATTTAATATTTCAGTTCATTAATTAATGGAAAGATATTAAATTAATAAAATATTATTAAATTAAAAATAGAAAAAATAAAAAATTAAATAATGTTTAGCATAAATTCTGGGATGGTAAAGTTATTATTAGTTTACAGAATTAGAATTAGATTATATAAAAAATATTTGATGAAGAAAAATTAATTTTATCATAATTATTAATTAATTCATGAATGAATTATAGATTAAAATTGATTTATATTTATATAATTATTAGATATTTAAATAGGTATATTAATTTTAAATTTAAATATTTAAGTAAATAAAAATAATTAAAGTTTAAGTCAAATAAATAATTAATATATATACTTGAATTTTATCTTACTATTTCATCATTTAACATATCGCTAAAAATAGATAACAATAAAAATAAATATTTATACACTAACTCAATTTTTAGGTTAAAAACGATTCAATGTTTGGATTAGATTGGATTTGAGTAAATTAAATTCACGTTACTTTCGATTCGGGTTATTTTCGATTCGATAACTTTCGGTTCGAGTTACTTTTGGTTGGCTAAAATTCGGGTCGATTTTGGCTCTTTCGGTTTAGCTAAAATTCAGGCCGATTTCGGTTCAATTCAATTTTTTTGGGTTTCGGGGTCAAATTTGAGTCATCATGTTCGGGTCTATTTCTGATCTTGATTCGGGTAAATTGGTTCATGTAATCAGGTACAGGTCAAATTTGCCAGGTCTAACCTTCTAGCTGCCTCTCTTTCTTTCAACCTAATTTTTTTTAATTTGTTGTGTCGTCTTCTTCTTTCTCTTTGATTTTTATTAAGTCGATAGCGATACCAATCTTAATGTTGGTTACCGACCGCCGGTGATTATTAGTTCTCTTGTTTTTTATATTATGTCTTTTATTTTAATTTTTTGAGTCTTTTTTATTTTGAATAAAAATCTATTTCCTTGTGACACGTTTTTCACTGCTCTTGTGGCATAATCTTTATGGTTTTTGGTACGTTTTTCGCATACCTTTGCAGCAGTTTTGGTACTCGCACAAAAACTATCATGACATTTATTTTTTGATTGGTTTATTGGTGGTCACATATAGTCATATCTCTCTTTGGTAAATGGTTGCTTGTCGATATAATCAGAATTGTGTAGCAAAACAACATGCCAGATTGTTTGGTTCGTTCATCAATCCTTTATCACTTCGTAAAGCGTATCATTCGATAGAGACATTGAGTTGTTATGAAGGTTGTATTGATGTTGATCGTTACTCTCAATGGAATGTTTTGTTTTTATTCATATTTTTGGGTTTAATATTTTTTTTGTAAAAGTATTTTCGTGACTATTGTCACCCATTTTCTGTTTATATTTTGATGCATTGTAATTTTAACTCCTTCCATTATTAATGAAATCCATTGCCATTGCTAAAAAAAATCTTAACCAACAATTAGTTGGTTTAATGAGATGAGATACTATATTTTTTAGACAAGAATATTTAAGAATCTTAATCAATAATCAGTTGGTGTAATGAGATGAAATACTAGATTGCTTAAGCAAGAATCAGGGGTTCAAATCTTGATATCTGCAAATGGAACAAATTGAGTTGGGAGAGCCACCCTATAATGGGCCTCTACAAAATATGATCCGAATTGATCGACCATTAAATCGAATACAAATGATTAAATCAAAAAATATATTAACTTTTATTTAAGTATAGAGACTTAAATAATTTGGTGTTTTATTTAAGTTGATTTTTATATTATATACTAAAAGTAAATAAAATCAGGTTTAAAGGTTTAAGGTTTCAGAATTTTGAAGGAAAAAAATCAGTTTAATCTTTGCATATTTTTTTCATCCAATTAAATCGTTATACTTTAAATTTTAATCAATATTACATCATTGTGTTATCGAGTAATATTTTTTAGAAAAATATTAACTGTTTAAATTTAATAATTAAAATTATTAAAAAATTAACTTAATCAATTTCTCAATTTGTAAACTTAGCTGATTTAGTTTCTGAATATGAACGTTGAATTAGGTTAAAACAGTCGAGAATTTAATTATATATATATATATATATATATATCTTAAATCATAAAATTTAATCCGACGATTGAAAAATTGAAAACCAACAATCCAACATAACTGAGGGACTAACAGAGAAACCCGTCTAAACCGACTCAACACTACTTGTTAAATCAAATCCGACGATTTCCTCGATTTCTTTAAAATTTAATCCAAAAATGGCCCTCCCCTTAATTGCTAAACTTGAAAAAAAAATAAAGAAAAAAATTCCCAGGATGCATTGTAGATTGAAGCAAAAGAATACCTAAAATTTTTTAGAAAGAAAACATTCCCAATATGTATTGTAGGTTGACGCAAAAGAATACCCAAAACGAAAATCAGTCCAACCGCACCTATATTATTATGAAGGTGTACACACTGATTTTGAGTTTTGGTTACAAAGAAAAGGCCTTCCATGTTCCCCCTATAACTAAAAGATTCTACTCACATTCATATCAAGGGCTGGTCCCCAGCATTTGTTGACGTCTCTTCAATGAAAGCTGCTTCTGCATTCTCATTTGACGATGGAATCTCTTTATGAACAAATCAGCTACTCGATCTATCTCGTCTTCCAGCCTGAATTCTTCTCCCTTATCTTCTTTCGAGTTCTTCACTATCTCTATCACCGAAGCCCCAGGATCAATCATTTCCATTTCTTCCGAGTCGAACAGCGAGTGAGTCAGGTCTGGGTATTTCTCTTCCAACTCAACCCCATCATCATCATCATCTTCTTCGTATTTGGTCTGTTGTGTACTCGGAACCCACATGGCATTGCTGCTATTGTGAAGAAAGATCGATTGGCTTTGTTGATCTCCAGAAACATCGTCTTCTTCTAGTTCCTTGGAGATTTTTCCATTGTTCTGGCCCATCAACGCGTTGAGCTTGTCGGAGAAGGAGCTCATGAGAAGCTTCCTGTTTTGAAGCAAGGAGAAGATGACGAGGCGGGTCTTGATGGCCTTTGTCTTGCTCTTTATGGCCATGGTTTTGGCGTTCGCCGTTGTGGTTAAAGCCGTGATTATCTGCTTCAACAAACCACTTGCTTTGTTCCTCATCTTCTTACACTAAACAAAGACACTGCGTCTGTGAGAGGTTTTTTTAGGACGTCAAAGCTTGAAGAAATTGACGTAAGGGATGTGCTGAAATGAAAGGGGTTTGAAGGATTTAAATAATGGCGTAACGGGCGACGAATGGTTAGGAACAGAGAGGCAAAGGTGTGGAAGAGTGGGGGCTAAGAAAAGCAGAAAGGCATTCAAGTGAAAGTGATTTGAAGAGATTAAAGGTGAATATTGTGGCAGGGTGGTTTCCCAGGGTGATAAATTTGGCACGTAGTTTTCCTGGATTTTTTATGCTAGTATTATATTAGACTAATGTTTCTGCTTTTTTATATAAAAAAAACACCGATAACACATTTGTCAATCAGGCTAAAATTTTTCAATAATGCCGTAGAAAAAATTCATCGAATAATCCTTGTTGGAACTATTTTATGGAATAGGGCGATCGATACAGTAGAAGACGGTAACAAATATATATTATATCTTAGATTTTTAATCCAAGATATATCCGACTTAATTTGTGATCGTTTAAATATGTATTATACACAACCCTTCTTTTCTTTAGAAGAAAAATCCGCATAATGCATGAGGATCCCATTGTCGAGAAGTCCTAAAAGAAGGTACGTAATTTTGTAATTCTAAAAATTCATAATCGTTTTATCTAATTTAATTATAAAATAAAGTAAAACGATTCACATTAACGGGTTGATTCAAGTGGTAAGCATCTTGATATCGCTTAAGGAAAGTCTAAGGTATGAGTCCTTGTGTATGCAGAAAATCTCCATTATAAACTCACTCGCCAAAACTAAGTATACGACTTGGGTTGACCTAGATTAATTAAAATAAAACCTTAAAATTAGAGGGAAAAAAACGATTCACCGACAAGCTAACTTGCTAAAATTTCAGTTTGTCATTCAGATTTTGTTTATCTAAGGCTGCTCGAATGATACATGGATGGGCAATTTTTGGTGGAAAATATTTGAAGCTTCATTTTCAAAGTTCAATTTTTCAAAAAGCAAATTGGGTCATCCCCAATCATGCGGCAATTTTACCCAAATGACACACTAACAATGAAATATTACTTGTCAGACACACTTTCTTTAAATATTACTGATCTAGCATTCTTTTTTATAAAGAGCGGATCATGAGACACACCTTCACAGGATTTTATCAAAGCTGACGCCAAGGTGAAAAAGTGAGGATCATGAAGTGCACCTTCGCGGAGTTCTGTCCGAACTGGTTCCACGTAGCGAAGGCACGGATCATGAAGCGAACATTCGTTGAGAAATCTAACACATGCAGGGAAGGCGCAGATCACGAGTCTCGTTTTTCATTATTCACTTTGAATTATTGTGCACTCTATAATTACTTGAGCCTTAATTGTTCGGTTATTCACTCATCCCCTCCCCTATAAATACCCTAAATTTTATTATAGTTTCACATTTTTCCTTCTATCACACTAAGTATATTTTATTATAGTTTTTAGAAGGTAAAAATATTTCTTTATTATATTATATTTATTCTATATTAATTATTTGACCAAAATTTATTGTACTAATTATTTTATATTATTTGACCAAAATTATTATGATTTTTTTAATTTTTAACATTAGTTTATATTTTAATTCGTATATTATTTATTTAATAAGTTGTATTTCATCTATTATTTTTATAGATATAGGACTTTCAATCTTTCGAACTCTCAAAATGAGGTGTATTTCAGCTATTGTTTACTATGATGGAAAATTCGGGAAGATAAAATCAATGCTATTTTCATATCAAATCATCCAGTCAGAATATCTTTCAAGAGAAACATCACTATTGAGGAGATTATCACTAAAATTTAAAGGAAGGTTCATGTTGGAAGTACTAGAAGATTGTCCTCACTTTAGTACAGATTTCCAACTACACTGTTTTCGTTAGCTTATACAACGTTCGAACTCTCCAATGATGACGATGTTGATATGATGGTTGATACTCAGAAACAAAATTCAGACGCATATACACAAATATATGCCACATTTGTTGAAGTTTCTACGGTTCGTGGTATGTCATTATGCTCATACTATGAACTGACTCAACAAGCTGATCAAATTGACAACCTAACTCAAGTAATGTGTAATGATTTTAACTCGTTAATGGAAAATCCACATCGTGGTACTATCCCATCAAGTTCAATGGGGAGACATTTATCAGCAACTTGTTACGATCTTCACTGATGTGGCTCAATGAACAATCTATATGGCAACATCGCTTCCAGTTCAAGGGGAAGACATTCATCTGCCAATTTCTTTGACCTGAATATGAAGATGTTCTCGACACAACAATCTATTCAATACCCATTTGACACGATGCTTATAAGTTCTAGGGGGAGACATTCAACTACAAGTTTCTTAGACCATAATATGGAGATGCCTGCGACACAACACTCAGTTCAAAACCCATACGACAGGATACCTTCATGTTCAAGGGGAATGCATTCAACTACTAATTTATTCGACCTAAATATGGACCTTCAAAAAGAAATCATGGAGCAGAGCCGCTGTTTGAATAGATATTTTCTTTTTCAATCATAACCCATCACCATATCACTATTGTCCCACATAATTAGAACTTGGAAGTCATCGAATGTATTACTCTTATATTACAAAATTTAAAAACAATAATATTATATATTCGATATATCAACAAATAATATTAAAATAATCTTTTTAGTGTTTAATTTTAAATAAAATACCTTAAGAATGAAATACATAAGACAAATCAAACATAAATGCGGATGTAAAATAAAAAATCATATAATTAAATGATAAAGATTATCATTACTCACACGGTAGAAAAAAGCAAAATGACCTGTCTATTAAAACAATAAAATGCATTATATAAAACATGATATTATAATTTTTATAAAAATAATATATTTTCTTATTGAATCAATTAATAATGATTCTAAAAGCTTGCTTCAAGTAACATCGAGCCTAATATGTATATTTTAATTAGAATTGGAATTTAGAAATGAGAAAATAACCTCAGGGACCAAAAATCCCATATAATATACGATTTTAACCAACTTTTTCCGGATTTGCCAAAATGACCAACAAAATCGCAATGCGATCGCTAATTCGCAACGCGATCTCCATTATCGCAAATTCGCGTTGCGATAGTTGAAAATCGCGTTGCGATGGTCTACAGTGTCGTTGCGATTTGCCCAATTCGCAATGCGAATAAGTAAATCGCAACGCGAATTGGGAAAATCGCAATGCGATACTGACTATCGCAATGCGATACTTACTATCGCAATGCGATAATACAAAATCGCAACGAGATACTGACTTTCGCAACGCGATTCTGACTTTCGCAACGCGATAATACATAATCGCAATGCGATTTTCAAAGCGCCATTAGTATCCTGGCCAAGTATTTTATTTTTAAATTCCAAACACAAATATTAATATATTGGAACACTGAACCGTCCACAGTATATCCCGTAATCGCAACTCATAACCTAAAACCTAAAATCACAACTCAGTCCCATCTCCATCTCTCACTCTCTCACCCATCTCCGACGAAATCCGTCCCCATCTCCGGTGAAATCCGTCTATCTCCATCTCTCAGAGCCACCCTCACAATCAGAAATGGAAAATCAACTAAATCAACCAACGAGGGTTAGTTTTTTTAATTATTTTCTTTTTTAATTTTTTGCATTATTATTAGGTTTTTCATATTGAATTTGATGATAAGTTTACTGGTAATTTCAATAATAGATTAACCATTTCACTTAGATTGCTTTTTAAATCAACCGAGAATCGCAACGCGAAATGAAAATCGCAACGCGATTTTAGTTTCGCGTTGCGATAGTCATTTTCGTGTTGCGATTTTCATTTTCAGAAACTATTCTTCTTCTGCAAATTGAAACTTGAATGAATTGCATTACTTCAACCAAAAATCAAAGACAAATATGAAATTCACAGTGTTGCAAATTTAAGTTTGAAGAATAAACTACTACTCTTTATGTTTATTATTGTTTTTGGTATATCTTCACAGTGTAGTTTTTGGTATATCTAACTTAGTATGTTTATTGTTTTTGTAGAACTTTTATTCGGCTCAATTGACCTTAAGAAATAAAGTCAGCCTGGCCAAAACAATTGCGTCGAAGCTTTCACCTGCACAAAGAAAAATGTTTGAGGATACATGCTTCGGGCCATGGCTGAAAGTACAACATCCCGGTGGAGATGCGTTGTTGACACACCTGTTTCTTCAAACCATGACTAGCGATTTACCAGAGACTATACAACGTCGTGATGAAGAGATATGGTTTGATTTTCCACCGGCGTATACGTGTTTTGGGCGGGAGGAGTTTTGCTTAATCACCGGTCTACGCTTCGGACACGATGATGTAGGTCGGTACACTAGACACATTACCCGCCCATCATGGCTATCCCGGGTTTTTCTTGAGCTGGAGAGGCCGAATCTACACGTAGAAGACCTGACAAGATTGTTGAATAAGAAAGATGGTTTTACTCGGATGGATGACGTCGACGTTGTCCGAGTATGCCTTCTAATTCTTTTGCATGCCGGCTTTTTAGGCAGAGAGGCCAAACAACCTATTCCAAATGATCTAATCAAATTGGTAGAAGACCTAAATGCGTGGAACCTATTTCCGTGGGGCTCGTATTTATGGAAAGCTACATGGAATAAGTTATCGTCTGCCTTGGATGATCGAAAAAGTTTGCATGGCGATGGTTCCAAATACACTTTGACAGGCTTTATTTGGGCCTTTAAGGTAAGAATTTTTATATAATGTTTCCAAAATTATAAGTAATTATTTAACAATTACTAATGTTTGTTATTATATTGTTTGTAGATTTGGATATTTGAGGCCTTTCCCGCCATGAAGACATATGCAATAAAAACTTCAAATGATATTCCCAGGGCTATTTCTTGGAAGAGGAATCGGACCTTGCAATGGGAAGATTTACTACGGCATACGACAATAAATA